TGAAAGAGACAAGGGAATACAGATTAAACACAAGTTATCTAACAGTGCTTCCAGTTAAACTAGGAGTACTTTCTAGGTGAGGATTCTTGGAAAAGGTGGCAAGGTCCTGGCTCTCTGAGCAAGTACAGGCATGACAGCAGACCTTATCACTCGCACCCAAATTCACAACCCGATATCAACAGGAAGTCCACAAGCTTTGGTATTCCAGAACCACTAACCCTGCTCTGAGATATATTACTTCAACAACAGTAACGTAAATTGCCCCCAGATTCAAACTCACTGGGGCCTGGGAGAGTATTTGGGAGAAGTATCCTTATACAGTTGCTCTATTCTTGTATTTCCGGGCAACTGCCTTTCGCCAATCTCAAAGACAGAATACTGACATAGCATTCTTCAGATATACCTCTCCTGATAAAGCTGGCAGTACCACCAGAGGTACTACTATTCTGCTAACACAGTCGCTTTCGTCAAACCTGATCAGTTTTGAATATTTAATCACATTTTCCCTTTTTAGTTATTAAATCAAAAACAACTGTTGGTTCTGAAATAGGGTCTCCTCTATCAATACAATAATCCCTGGTTTGCGTTTGTAAGTGCGTCATTTTTCTGAACGTTTAACAGGTAGCTGGAGATCTTCACGCATATCTAGAGCACAACCTTGAGGTGAGAGACCCTGTTTTAGCTATGGCAGCTTTTATGATTGAAAGGATGCAACATCCAACTTGATATTATTGATGCTTGAAGTTTTAATATGACGTGTATTTTTCCTTTCCTATATCATTCGCTTTTAACTGCCTCGTTCTACAGGAGAGCACATCTGCAGACACCACAACTCTGTTTGGATATGACCAAAGTGGGCTAAATCCCCTAATTTGCTATATCCTCCTAGAAAAAACTGGATCAATTCCAAAATAGCCTATTTGTTCAAGTATGCTGCGCATAAGAGCTCTTTTTGCATGCATTTAAAGAGGAATACTGCATAGATACTCTCTAGAAGGAACAGGAAAGTAGCCAAGAATAAAGAGAATTCATGGCCATTAGGTGATTTGTGTTATTAGTACTTATCAGCACCATGTTAGACAACTCATTAGCAACCACAGCAGCTGTAAGCATCAGACTGGCATGTTAACAAATAAAACAGAAACATGCATATGCTCACTAAACGTAAATCAGAGAAAGACGCATCCAGATGGGATTGAAACCAAGCAAAATATAATCACTAACATTTTCAGAATTGTATGAAAACAAAAGGAGAAAGGCAGAAAGTTAAACAACAACAACAAAAAAACCCACACACCATAACACCACACAAACAACCCAAAGAGGGAACTTGCAAGTAGTTTTTCCACCAGTGAGGTGTGGATTGACCAGCAGAACTCCAGTAAGAAATATACATCCATCCTCAAAAATCTCTACTATCTAAAAGATAGTAACCAGGTAACAATGACTAGTACGTCATGAGGAGACAGAGGAAGAGTTTGGAGCCCGAAAATGAAAGACATAACCTTACCTTGTTAAATTATGCTTAGAGACCATTTAAGAGCTGACTAATACATTCATACTCAACTAAGCTATCTAACACAAAAGCTCAATTAAAGATTGATATTTACATCATTTCCAAAGTTAAGTGATTCTAAACCCTTATGTAAAAGTCACAGAAGACAGCTACTTAAATCATACAAAAATTGGTATTGTATCATTTCTTTTGGAATGCACCATTCTTTACCTAATTGTTCATGTCATATTTTTCATGAAATCTCCAAAATACAGGAAACAATGGAATTAAAAAAAAAAAAGTACACTGAACAGATTTCTGTACAGTCACTTGTAATATTAACTTACTTTTGATTTCTTAATTACTTGGCAAAGAACGAACAGTTTACCAGGGAAATGAAGTTTATCTTTGAAGATCAAATAAAACCAGGCACACATTCAATCAAAACATTTTTCTGAAGGGTTTACAATTTTAATCCATTCTTTCTAACCTTCTCAACGATGGAAATTCTCTTCACCTTCTCCAAATATCAAAGCAGAGCAGTTCCTACAGGGTTACAAGCAATGAGTTTACATTCTCTGTATTTTATTAATTTGAATTAGAATAGCGAGAGCAGCAGAGCTGATTGCAACAATACAGAATATCCCTGTACCTGGAATGGCTATATAAATATGTTCTGTAAATTTCCTGCCAGCATCCAAACTAGAATGTCCTTTAACAGCCAATTTCAAACCTGCATCATTTTAGGAGGTCCAGCGAGTAAACATACCACTACAGTCACACACTTTTGTTAATGTAAGTGGGACAATATACTGAAATAATCAATTCAAATGAAGCTCTACCAGTTTCATAAACTAAAGTGTACTGTTCACAAGCCTAGAGAACAATAACAAAAAGCAGCTCCAGAGAAGGTGCACACATTAATTTAGGGTCTACTTTTTGTTCTAACAGAAGATCAAAATAAGAACACTCAACATCCCTAGTCACACCACTCCGAGAAATACTTCTGCAATCCAAGATTAATTAAATCAATACAGTAGGAAAGAACTCGGACTAACTGCAGAACAGCTTAGAACTCAGCAGTAGTTAGTAAGGGAAATAAAGCATAAGGAATTAGTAGGAAACTATCAGAGAACGAAGAAAGAAACATTAGACTAGGGTACAAATTCTGATGCCTCTGCTTTTTCAAACACATGCAAGACAGGTCACTACCTTCAAAAATGTAACAGAGAAACAAGAGCAGTTCAACAACTAACAAAAATAAATCAAGGATATAAAATGGATTTCATATAAGACTTTAAATTCATTTAATGCGAGCAGCCAGAGCTGAAGTTAATTCTTCCTCCCTTCCACCTTCCAAAGCTACTCACCTAATTCATACAAAATGAGACAAATATTTTAATGAAAGGAAGGACAATGGACAGCACAGAAGAGTAAAATTGAGGCATGAAACTTAAATAGGGAAATATGGCAAGAAAGTTAACTTCAGAAGATAGAGAAGAAAAAAAAACAGAGAAAAACATGGATTTTTAAGCATGAATGCAAAACAAAAGCAGATAGAGAGGAGAGAACCGGAAGCACCGATTCAACAGTCTGCATTCCTACACTCATCGTATTTCTCCAAGAGAAGGTGGAAGCTGACACAGGGGAAGGGGAGCGATGGCGGGCTGAGTGCTCTACTGAAGACTGGCAACTTGATGAATAACATGAGGCAGGGAGACAGCAGAACACCACTTCTTGCATATACAGAATACAGACAGTAAAAGTATTTATTATAGGTCAAATGCTTACAGCTAGAAGGTGGATGTTGCTAAATTCAGAGATTGTGATTTTTTTGGCAGAAGACTGTCTTAAAACCATAATTCAAGACCTTGTCAGAGAGTGATGGATATCAAGCCAGGAAAGAAAGGGCAGTGCTTTCTCAAGAACGCCAAACTGCATAAAGGCTGAATATCAGATTTTTTTTTTCCCCGCAGTAATTCTTACTAAAGATAGGAGAGAAATCAAGAACGGTAAGACAGTTGGCAAGACCAGCAAGCCTGATAAATGGGGTAGAAGGTACAAATTCCCAGCATAAACCGAGGAAAGATCTCAAATATTGCTAAATTGCCAAGATCATGTATGAGCATTCTTTAAAAACAGATGTAGTGTAATGTCTACTTATCCAGGAAGACTAATATCTTACCACTTTCAGTGTAAAAACTGACAGGAGGACTAGAATACTCTACATTTAATGGACGATCAGAACTAGAATACTAGGCTTTTAAGGTGAAGACCATTTGCGTGATTGTACAATTATATTAAATTCAAACAGTATAATTTCTTTCCTGATAGAAATATTTAGGGGGAAGGAGATCTTTGAAATGCCTTCCTTGATAGCCGAGCTCTGAGAAAACACTCCTATGAATGAATAACCACCCAGATGCACACAAGCCGTGATTCAGTCCTGCTTTTTACACTAGGACAAACATACAAGTTTAGGAACAATTCCTCTATGGATTAACAATGGTAATGTGTTCTGACATTTAGAATTAACAGCTTCAAACGTTTAGGAAAACACTGTTCTTAGCATACCTTCATTTTTAGGGATATTCTACCTTGAGAGCTCCATAGAGTACTGAGCTATGAGAAATATCTTCTTAATTTGAACAGGGACTTTTGTACAGATAGGATGACAAAATAATTCAATCACCTTGAGAACCACATTGTGCAATTTAAGTAATTCTACCTTGTTTGTAGGATAATTCATGCATTAACTACTCTAAACAAAAGTTTTGGCTAAAGCAGTAAGGCCTAAATCTTATCAGGATAAAAAAAAAAAAAGAAAAAAAACAAACAGATTGCTAAATTCAGGAATGGAAATATTTCTAAGGGAATAACCTAGGAACCAAGATTTCCTAGAACAGATCATCATTTGCTGGACAGATTTGATGCACAACACAGACTGCATTAGAAAGGCTGTCTCCTTTATGCTTAACAGTTCCCTTCTGTTCCGGTACCAACGTCTTGCTGATTCATGAAAGAGCAGTAAAGGACCAAAGAGACCGGACACCAAGTTTGGATCAGGGACTGCTGACTGAACTGAGGCACCTGAGAAGCATAACAAAAGGCAGCACCAAGAACAAAGCACATCTAAAGATAAGATATCAATGCATCCTTCCAGGCAAACACAGCCTGGAGGTAGCCCATCACTTCCGAATAACCACTCTTAGAAGCAGAGAATTCCAAAGCCCCTCTGGAACAGGGAAGAAATGCCTACTAATGAGAAGTTACCTGTTACTTTCATATGAAGTGCAAGGCACATTATTTGAATTTGCCATTTCTAATATTCAGCAATATACACAAGCTTTACTCAGGAATGCATGTGAGCAGAGACATGTAACCCCCTTCTAGGCTCAGTGATTTTTCTTTTTTCACAAACCATTTTGTGCCTATATTCTGCAATGCAGGACTCTGGAAGCAGA